TCTCTCTGCTGACAGTCTATTTATTACCAGAGAGCACACATTGCGAAACACCCACTCCTCACCATCAAGGAAAAGGGGACACGCAATTATAATGCTTTGGTTGCGAGATCCTAAACTCCCCAAATTACCGCTGATAACCACAAACATCAGCAAACACAAACCAAAGCTCCGGGGGGGGGGGGGGGGGGGGGGGGGGGGGGGGGGGGGGTTTGGGGAGGGTGGAGATTAACTATTCAACGACTGAGCCAGCTATTTTATTTTGGATCAGCCGGGTGTCTGACACACGCGTAAACCCATCACCGTGCTTAGGAGTATCCAAACCAAACTGAGAATTCCATGCATCCCACCTACATGTTGAAATTCCCAAGATAGATTGTTGGGATGGAGTGCGCACTCTCTCCCTGGAGGGACTTCTCCCGCTTACCTAATTCTGGAAAGTATTAGGTGCAGGGTTGGTGGAAGCCAAGGCTGGGGGACCCCAGATTGAGAGTTGGGAGTAACTGCTGGAGTCTAACCAGCTAAAACCACATAGCTTGCCATTGATACTGCTGTCAGGCAAGCTTTCCCGCTGTTTGTCCGGCTGGGACCACCCAACCCATCAGGGCTTTGGCTTGCAGGGTTAACAGGAGCTGAGTGGGCGGATTCCCTGCCCCCAGTGACTGGTCTGCCCTTCCAAGTCCTGCCAATAAGCCAGGCTGGTCTGTGCTGTCATCAGCAGTGCCCTGAAATACTGCGGACCTGCCTAGCTCAGGAACCGGTCTACCAAGATTACTACAGAGGGTTGGCTCGATTCCGACATTCCTCTGCGAAATATGTCACCTTTGAGCCAGTTCAGCTCCAAGAAGATCCCACTTACCTACCCAACCCAAGGGGGATAGTCTCAAAACCCCCGGCCTTGCAAGCAAGGGGACGTTGGCTGTGTTGTCATCAGTAGGGTTGATAGGAACTGATGGGAGGATTCCCTTCCCGCCATACCCACCCCGGCCTCACTGTCTAAGCACTGTCTGGTAAGCTTTTCCGCTGCTTGTCCAGCTCGGACCGCCTTCCCCGATAGGGCTTTGGCTTGCAGGGTTAACAGGAGCTGAGTGGGAGGAGTGGTTCCCTGCCCCAGTGACTGATCTCCTGGCTTCTGAAACTGACGGATGAGCCTCTCATTTCGGGCTCAGGTGACCACATGTCCCTGATTCCCGGAGCCGGTCCCCGGATGAGGAATTATGCCCTGAGGCCAAATTTGCCCTGTGTTGAGTTCAGCAACAAACTGAGCAAGAACAGCAAGATTCTAAACCAGACACACTCATCAGAGACGGAAAAACAGTCATTAATCCAACATGCTTCTCCAGTAACTGCCAGCATCAGCTATTGTGAAGAGTTCAGTTTTTTATATATGTGTCCAGGGATTTAGCTTACAAGAACGCTCTTAACTGGAGTTAATAACAACAATTTATAATTTGATATAGCGCCTTATAATGTCTTCAAAACATCTCAAAGCGTTTCAGAGAATATACTGTAAAGTAAATTGACTGTATATTTTGTGGGTGAAACACGGCAGCCAATTGCGCACAGCGGTGTCCCACAAACAGTCGTGGACTGAGCGCCCAAATTGTTAATTTATTGTTTTTGAAAGGATTATTGTCCCCGGAAAAGCGATCCGCCAATCGACTAACAACTTACTGCTTGTGGAGTAAGGAAACTTGCCCAGCATTTCGCCCTGCCGGGAATTGAACCCAGGTCCTCTCGCTTGCAACCAGTAAGCTACAGGACTCCACTTGCATTTATTCACACAGGATAACGTCCCAGAGCACTTGACAGTGCTGGAGGCTGATGCCGAGCCAGGGGAGAGGGAGGAGAGAGGTGACCATTAACGCGATTGAAAAGGGAAGGTCTTTAGGTGCGATTTGAAAGTGGACACAGAGGGGGCAAGGCAGAATGGATTGAGGTAGAGAGTTCCAGAGTTTCGGAGCGTAGTGGCCGGAGGCATGGACACCGATGGGGGAGTGGAGGGGACGAGGAACAAACAGGAAACTGGAGCCAGTCGAGCAGAGACAGCGGGTGGTGGAGGGGGGGGTAAGCCGATTGGATTGGTAGTGACGTGCGAGAGCATGAAGGGATTTGAAAACAAGTGAAAGGATCTTGAAATCGATCCGTTCGGTGATTGGGAGCCAGCGGACCCTGCGATGAGGGTACGGAGTTTGGTGCGGGTGAGTACCCGGGCGGCAGAATTCTGAATTAATTGTATTTTATTTGCGGTGGAGCTGGGCAAACCGACGAGGAAGGCGTGGGAATAGTCCAGCCAGAAAGTGACGAAGGCGTGGACGAGGGTTTCGGCTGCATTGATTGGTGAGGGCTGGACAGAGGCAGGCAATGTGACGGAGGTGGGGGGGGGGAATGGAAATAAGACAATCCACTGTGGGATGGTGGAGACGAGGAATACTTTCTGGTGTTATTGCCAGTCTGGTGACTGCAGTGTTGTGTGTAACTCACGCCTGTGGGAATTTAATGCCGAATTTCATTATGGCTCATCTCTAATCTCAGGATGGAATTGGGAGTTGCATATCAGGCTAGCGCCTCAGGCCTCCAATAATTCATCCAGCACACAATAGCCGGCTGTTCAAGCCTCTCCATATTTACAGCAACCAGTCACAAGTGGTTATCTGCTTACGTAAAAATAATTATTGTATTTGATACCGCGCCTTATCGCATCCCAAAGCGTGATACAACAACAACAACAAGATTCCATTTATAAAGCGCCTTTCACGTCAGGAGGACGTCCCAAGGCGCTGATACTGGATATACCGTGAAATGCAGTGACTGTGTGTTTTTTGGACGAAGCGTGGCAGTGCCCGCAAACAGCCGTGGAGTGAGTGACCCAATTTATTTTGGGGGGATTGTCAGCCGGGACACCAGGAGAGAGAAACTCCCGTCCCTTTTCCAATAGCGCCGCGGGATCTTTAACGTCCACCTGAACAGGCAGACGGGACCTCGGTCACATCCGAAAGATGACCACACAACACAACACTGACCACACAACACCCCCCCACCCCACCCAATACTGGATTGGAGTGTCAGCTCAGACCATGTGATTCCAAATCCCGACATTGAGGTTTGAATCCATAACCTTCTGACTCAAAGAGTGTGCCAAGGCGACAGCCAAGCTAATCCCATATGGTAATGGTGCTCCCGAAATCCAGGGATCATAGCACCTATTTACAGGATTCCCTGGAAAGCGAAGTGACTGTGTTTTGTGCAGGCAAACGCGGAAGCCAACTTTGTACGCACGACGTTCCATAAACAGTGTTCGCCCACAAAACATCATGTCCCGTGCAGTGAATGACCAATTTTATGTGTGTATGTTTTGTGTACATGAACGTGTGTATATGTTTGAGTGTGAATGTGTGTATATATTGTGTATATATTGTGTATATATACACACAGACACACAGACACACACACGTGTGTATTATATATATGCTTGTATGTATGTGTGTGTACTGTTGATCAGGGACTGCATTTCCTTTCTAATCCTTGGACACTTTATTTCTCGCTGATCAGCATAATTTCTGATTCGGGATTTGACAGCAGCAAAGAGTACATGCATCTCACTCAGAATCTGTATCCCAGCACAACCCAGCACAGCCAGAACACCACCAACAAAATGACATTTGTATAGCGCCTTTCACGTCGGGAGGACGTCCCAAGGCGCTGAACAATCAGCGCGTATCTCAGAAGGAATCTATCCCAGCACAGGCAGGGCTGTACGCAAGATCTCGCTCAGAGTTGATGTCCCAGCACAGCACAGCACACGCGGGACTGTACACCATATCTCGTTCACAGTATCCATTTCCCAGCACAGCCCAGGACAAACAGGGCTGTTCATATCTCCCTCAGGGTCTGTTCCCAGCACAGCCCAGTACACACAAACCACAGCACCTCCTTAACGGAGCTCGAAATCAAAGCTCCTTTAAACACAATTCTCCCGCGAACGCCGCTAACAGCGAGTGGGTTACTCGGAGACCCCCACGCCCACCCTCTCTGTAACCACATCTAGTGTTTGAGCTGAGTTGAGAGCTTTCTTTTTGTTGTGTGTTAAATCCCGAATCTCTGGTGATCTAAAGGCTGGAATTCACAGTCTGTCTCTCTCTTTCTCTTTCTCTCTCTCTCTCTCCCCTCCCCAGCTCTCACTCACCTCGTCACCAGCATCACGCATGTCCAGAGCTCAATCACAGCATTAAAAACTCACATCCTAACCTCTCCCTGCTGCCCCCCCACCACCCCCCGACCGACACACATCAGTGCTTTAATTCCACCCTCTCACCTCCACGTTTATAATAATCCTCGCCTTTGTTACAACGCCTTTTCACCTCGTTGAGATGCCTCAAAGCGCTTCACGGAATATATTGTAACGGGGATCGACAAGTGTATTTTCTGGGCGAAACACGGCAGCCAATTGCGCAAGTCAAACTGCCACGGATTGAGTGACAACATTTTTTTTTGGGGGGGGGAGCTGGACACTACGTGCACAGCTCCCAAGGCTTTCTCTCACACTACAGAGAGGCAGGGAAACTGAACCCCATCCCAAAAAAGAACACATACACCCTCCTCCTCCCCCCCCCCCCCTCTCAGCACCCTCCCTACAATATTTTGCAGATAGTCGACTGGCGGACCGCTTTCCGGGGGGGGGGGGGGCGATAATCCCTCCAAAAATAATGAACCCACGACTGTTTGCGGGACGCTGCTGTGCGCAATTGGCTGCCGCCTTTCACCCACAAAATACACAGTCACCCCGCTTTACATTATATCCTGTGAAGCTCTTCGAGACGTCTCGGCGACGTGTTAAGGCGCTGCATCAAACCGCAAGGGTTATTAATACAGATTGTTATACATAGTCCATCTCGACATGCGGTCTCCGCCGACCACCGACTCGCGCGCTCTTTTCCCCGGCGAAACGCGTCCACGCTCCCTCCCCGCCTTCCGAGCGCATCTCGTTTGCTTTCAAGACTTACCGTCAACTTGGGACAGAATTCCCCAGAGCAGGAGCGCAGTCTGTAACTCCATCCTCTCATTCCCCCGGCATAGGGAGCACTCAGTTTTTCCCCCCCACCCCGCTTTCTCTCCTCTCTTCTAGCTAATGGGAGTGGAGTGGGGTGGGGGGTGGGGGGGGGGGGGTGTTGGGTTGTTGGTGGTGGGGGTGGGGGGGAAGGGTGGGGGGGTGGTGATGGGTGGGAGATGATTGCAAGATTGCAGTAGAGAGCAAAATTCCAAAGCAAGAGAGGGAGGGAGAGAGAGAAAAAAAGGCAATTTTTTTCCAAAGCCCCCCCCCCACCAAAATAAAAAGATATGCAGGAGTGGGAAAAGGATGGAGAGAGAGAGAGAGAGAGAGAATAAATCTGGGATCTTGGTTCCTCCAATGCCTTGTAGCTTTCCAGAGGGGGAAGACAGTCGAAATGATTGTATCTCAGAGCAGAGCAGAGACTTGTAGAGAGGAGAAGAGAGAGGATATAGAGCAGATCAACAACTCAACAGCTTGGCTCAACTTTGGTCCTGTACATTTCTTCCACGTCCTTCTCTTCTCTTCTCTCCTCCTTCCTTTCCTTTCCTTTCCTTTCCTTTCTTTCCTTCCTTCTCTCCTTCTCCCTCTCTTTCTCTCTCTCTCTCTCCTCCCAAAGAAAAAAAAACCAGGACCACTTGCACTCCTTTCTTTGCCCCTTTTTCCTTCCCTCCTCTTTTCCTTCCGATGAGTCTGACCTTCCAGTTTCTTCCAAGCTCTTTCTCCCCCCCCCCCACCCCCCACCCCACCCCCCAAAAAAAAAGCTGAGACAAGAGGCTGAGAGAGTAAGAGAGTAGTTTTTTTTTCCTCCCCTTTCTTAAGACACACACACACACACACACACAGTGGCTGACTTTTAAAAGATGATGTCCAGGTTCCTTCTCCTGGTATCTTCCAGCATCTTTGCTTTCTCCCCCCTCCCCACCAAACAAATATAGACCCAGAGGCTTGTTGTGTGGTTCAGTGTGTGTCTGTGTGTCTGTGTATGTGTGTGTGTGTGTCTGTCTCTGTGTGTGTCTGTCTGTCTCTGTGTGTGTCTCTCTGTGTGTGTCTGTCTCTGTGTGTGTCTCTGTGTGTGTCTGTCTCTGTGTGTGTCTGTCTCTGTGTGTGTGTGTCTGTCTGTGTGTGTCTGTCTCTCTCTGTGTGTGTCTGTGTGTGTGTGTCTGTGTGTGTGTGTCTCTCTGTGTGTGTCTGTCTGTCTCTCTCTGTGTGTGTCTGTCCCTGTGTGTGTGTGTCTGTCTCTGTGTGTGTGTGTCTCTCTGTGTGTGTCTGTTTGTGTGTGTGTCTGTCTGTGTGTGTCTCTCTGTGTGTGTCTGTCTGTCTCTCTCTGTGTGTGTCTGTCTCTCTCTGTGTGTGTCTGTCTCTGTGTGTCTGTCTGTGTCTGTCTGTGTGTGTGTGTCTCTGTGTGTGTGTGTCTCTCTGTGTGTGTGTCTCTCTGTGTGTGTCTGTCTGTCTCTCTCTGTGTGTGTCTGTCTCTGTGTGTCTGTCTGTGTCTGTCTGTGTGTGTGTCTGTCTCTCTGTGTGTGTGTCTGTCTCTGTGTGTGTGTGTGTCTGTGTGTGTGTGTCTCTCTGTGTGTGTCTGTCTCTGTGTGTCTGTCTGTGTCTGTCTGTGTCTGTCTCTGTGTGTGTGTGTCTGTCTCTCTCTGTGTGTGTCTGTCTCTGTGTGTGTGTCTGTCTCTGTGTGTGTGTGTCTGTCTCTCTGTGTGTGTGTGTCTCTGTGTGTGTGTGTGTCTCTGTGTGTGTGTGTGTCTGTCTCTGTGTGTGTCTGTGTCTCTGATCAGCTCTCAACACGCAACGAGCAGTGACCCGGGAGCCCAGGAGAGGAGGGACGGGAGGGGACGGGGATCGACCCACATCTATCTATCGCTATATCTATCTATTCGTGTGTGTGCGTCTCTCCCTCTCTCTCCCTCTCTCTCTCTGTGTGATCAGGAGAACAGCTGAAACTGCAAGTGACGCACGTTAAAACCACACAGACAGACAGACAGACAGACACCCAGACAGACAGACACACAGACATAAGTTGGAGGAAAAAAAGGGGGTGGAGAGAAAAGAAAGAAAGAGAGAAAGAAAGAGGGGAGAGAGAGAGAGAGAGAGGCTAAGGAGGGAGGGAGGGAGGGAGGGATGGATGGATGGTTTTTTTTGGACTAAACCATTTCCTTCAAATCCCCTTTCCCCTCCCTCCCCCCTCCCTCCCCCCATCCCCCCTCCCTCCCCCATCCCCCCTCCCTCCCCCATTCCCCCCTCCCTCCCCCATCCCCCCTCCCCCCCCATCCCCCCTCCCTCCCCCCATCCCCCCTCCCTCCCCCCATCCCCCCTCCCTCCCCCCATCCCCCCTCCCTCCCCCCATCCCCCTCTCCCTCCCCCTTCCCCCCCCTATCCCCCAAAAAGGCACTCAGCAAAGCAGTGACTTGTGAATGCTGAGTTGCAGCTCAGAAAGGGCTGTGTTTTTTTTTAAATGTATAACCTGACTTAAGCAGCTCCCAACCTGGATCTGAGCCCCCCCCCCCCCACCCCCTCTTCTCTCCCCTCCCTCCCTCCCTCCTTTCCCCCTTCTCCCCCCCCCCTCCCTCCTTTCCCCCTTCTCTCCCCACCTACCCCCCACTCTTTCCCCCTCTCTCTCCCCCTTCCTCTCCCCCTTTCTCTCCCCCCCCCTTCTCTCCCCACCTCCCCTCTTTCTCTCTCCCCCCCTCTCTCCCTTTCTGTCCCCCCTCCCTCTCTCTCTCTTCTCCCCTCTCTCCCCCCCCTTCCTCTCCTCCCCTTTTTCTCCCTTCTCTCTCCCCCTTTTCTCCCCCCACCCTCTCACTTCTCCCCCCCACCCTCTCTCTTCTCTCCCCCCACCCTCTCTTCTCCCCCCACCTCTCTCCACCCCCCCCCCTCTCTTTCTCTCTCACCCTCCCTCTATTTCTCTATCCCCCTTTCCCTCTCTTATCCCCTTCTCACTGATCCCCACAGTTAACCAGACAGAGTGTAATTCTGATCACATTCCCAGTCTCTGGGCTCTGAATGTAAATGAATTTGTGCAGTTTGAAGACTTGGAGGTGTAACAAACAAACAAATAATAATAATTATTATTATTATAAATAAATACATGCTGCATACATACATATATACACACACAGACATACGTACTGCATACATACTGCATATATACACATATATACACACGCACACACACACATACATACTGCATACATATATACACACACAAACATACACACACACACACACACACAAACATACATATCCACACACAACAGGTAATCACATGCCGGTTAACCCCAGGACATGTCAAGCCAGGATTTATAAAGGCAATCAGCCTTTTATTCACCCCTATACAATATAAAGCATCTTGCGCGCGCTCTCTCTCTCTCTGTACACTGATATTTGCTGAGGAAATGTGATTTAACTCCTGAAATGCTGGTTAGGGCGCATTAAAAGCAAGCACCCTCTTCGCTTGTCAGGGTGCAATTCCCCAAATATCTCTCTCCTCTCCCCCACCCCCTCGCTCTCTGTCTCTCCCCTTCTCTTTCCTTCTTCTCGCCCTCTCCCTGCCTCACTCTTCCCCCTCCTTCCTCTCTCTCTTCACTCTCCCCCTCTTCCCGTCTTTCACTTTTCTTTCTCCCCCTCCTCTCTATCTCTCTCTTTTCCCTCTCCCCCCTTTCTCTCTCCCCACCTCACTCTTCTATCCATCTTCTCTCTCTCCCTCCTCCACTCTCTCTCTCTCTTCCTCCCTCCCCCTCCCTTCCTCTCTGCACCCCTCTTCTCCCCCTCTCCCTTCTCTCCCCTATCCGCTTGATCTCCCCCTCACTCTCCCTCTTGATAACGTTGGAATAGAAATGTGCATTTCACTTGAGAGGAAGGGGGCTTGGAGTTACTATTCTCCAAGATGTTGGTGTTGGGGGGTGGGGGCTTAATCATCTCTCTGTGTGACTACAGTCTCCGCCCAGAGACAGAAAGAGAAAAAAATCATTTCATTTCATTAATATTTGATATCTCTCTCTTCTCCTTTTCCTTCACTGATAAAAGGAAATTTAAAAGAAAGGATCTACTCTTGCCTTAAATGTTCTGAAGTTGTGTCAATGAGTCAGGAATGGGGTGTGGGGTGGGGTGGGGGGTGTGTGGATGTGGGAGGTGTGTGTGTGTGTGTGTTGTGGTGGGGGTGTGGAGAGGAGATGGATATTGAGAGTAAGTGGATCTCTCATTAGCATCAAACGCTAAAACATATTTGATTGTTGTGTGTATGAGGTGGAGGCAGAATCCAAAAAGGCGGATGGGAAGCTAAAGGAAAAGAGAGCACGAGAGAGATACTGAGGCTGGATGTGACAGAGCGGGCTGATTAAAGACATCCTGAAAGTTATTTGATGTCTGCCTTACTGATTATACCCTGCGCCTTTCACACCCAATGTAGGGAGATGGGTAATCTGCCGGAGAAAGGGCACTGTTAGCTCAGGGAGAATACGTCAGTCTCTAGCGCCTCCCATTGACCACAACCTGCAATTCCCCAAAACATCTCACTCACATTGCTGAAACCGAGAATGTTTCTCCTGATGCAACCAGCCTTCTCTCCCGGTCTCTTGAAAATGACTGATCAGAGTACAGTAATAATCCTTGCATTTGACACAGCTCCTTATCATGTCGTTGAGACGTCTCAAAGCTCTTCACAGTATACTGTATACCAATTTCTGGGGGGAGGGATTATTACCCCCGGAAAGCGATCCCCCAATCGACTAACAACCGGGTCCCTACTTACTGCTGGGTAAACAGAGGCGTGTGGAGTAAGAAAACTTACCTAAGGTTTCGCCCCGCCCGGGAATCGAACCCGGGTCCTCTCGCTTGTGAGTTGAGTTTGTTAATCACTGTGCTACAGGACTCCATTTATGACATGTAGGTAGCGTAGATGGCGAGGAAGTGAGACCTTCACATGAGGGAAAGGGGAATAGAAGGGTGTGGGGGGTGGGGGAGAGAGAGGGAGGAATGGGTAAAGATCTGTGTGGAGTATAAACACCGGCACGGACTGGTTGGGCCGAGTGGTGTATTTCTGCGCTGTGCAT